AATGACTGTCTACGATGACGGGGTCTACATGAAGTCCGGTGCTCCATTCGACAGGTTAAAACGAGTTATGAAAACGCCGCGCCCATCGCCGCGCGTGGCGGTGCGGCAAATTACGATCCTCTTTACCGTCTCCCAGGGTTGACAGGCTTCATCAGAGCGAGACTTGTAAACTAAAACTATAGAACAGAAGCAAGCGAAAAGCGAAATGCTCCCTCCCCTACCCCCTCCTCCCCGCCCATCGCCGAACTGCGCCTGAAAAGCTATCTATACCTTCGATGTCTTCCGGTCCCTCAATGACCTTTGTACCGTACACGCGCCTTGAAGAACATTTCAAATAAACAGTGAGGATGATGGTAGATTTTCATATCCGGTGGAGGTCCATCTTCCCGCTGTATAAATGGATTCGGTGTGATCTTTGCTAGACGGACTTCCTAGAAATGAAAATGTAAATAGGAGCGCTATCAGTACAAGAAAGATAATACATGTGGGAGAAAGTATTTGGTGAACAAAAAAAAGTTCGTTTACCAGATGGTTCCAAGCAGAGTTTCAGCACGAAAGGGACGAACCCGACGGCATGCGTATTGGAGAGGGTCACATTACAGTTGCTTGTCAGAACCTTTTCGTAGGAAGCAAGTGTATATATCCATTGTTAGGCTTAGAAGAGATCCGGCAACAACAGATGACAGATGTGCCCTGCCCGTGTATATCCCAGTCAGCTCTGCCGTAGAGCCTCGAGCGTCGATTTCGCTGTGGATGGTGTGCCTGTGGGTTGGGGGATAGGGGGGGGGGCTGGGCTTGGCGCAGCGCCAGTCCCTTCCTCATCAATTCTTATTACCTGCCTGCTTGGTGAAAAACAGGTTGATGCTGTTCCGAACACAATCACCCTATACGCCCCCTAGGTTCGCAGCAAAAGCGAATTTACCAAGACTACTCTGCAGAGACACCTGAAAGCCCAAATCGAGCGAATTGTTTCACAAGTCCCTGCTATTTCTTCACAGCTCTTCCCCAGATCGTTCAGAAAGCCCCGCAGGCTCGTGTCGCAAAGAGCGTTCAGAAAGTCCCGCAAGCTCCTGTCGCAAAGAGCTCTTCCCGCCTACTCTCTCGAACTCTCTTGCAAGTAATACTGACCTGAGCAGAGAAAGCTGCCATCGCCTCAAACATGGCATAGAATGAAGGAACAAAAATGTTCGGGCTTATGGAGGACGACTGTAGTCAGGGTTTCAGTCAACTGGTCCGGAGACACAAATTTCTCAATAAAGAACTGTGTCAGATCGATTATGACCGTGGTACGTCAATGCGCCAGATTCCATGCTATTGCGTGTACACACCTAAACTGCGGGCAGTTTCTGCAAGGAGCAGGAGCAAATCTGCCGCTGCCTCAAACGCGATGTCACTCCATTCTCGCTGCCATCTTCTGGAAGATATCTGAATTGTGACACTTTCTGCTGAACTTTTTAGAAAACTTCCACTTTCGTGGATGAGGGCTATCTTCCCGGGACATCAGTTCAGCATACCATCATTTAAAGTCAGGTCTGATGCAGAGAGGTGGAGCAGCGGTCAAAGGCACACACGTCGGAAGCCCACAGCGCGTAAAAGCAGCAGACCCTCCATCAAATCATATCGAGGGACTAATTTGGTATTGCGCGACTTTTGCTAGTCGGGAATTCGGGGTAGTCGAACAGTGAGGACGCAGAGTTTCTGTAGCGTCACGAACTATTAACTTGAAGTACTGCATAGTCCAGTTTTAGACAGCCATCGGCACCTTATTAACATTGGCACGGAAGAACTGCAGTATGTCCAGTTTTAGCACAGTTTGTGTGGAGCTGATATAAGAAACAGCACGGATTTATGGAACAATTCCACCATTATACAACCAAATAGTAAACACGGAAATGGACATGACCGTGCATTGAAATCAATGCAAAAGCCATTTTGTGACCAGATGCACTGCTCGCTCGCTGTGAAGCTTCAAATCAGTAATTAGGGACTAACTCGAAGCTTATTTCGAAGAAATGAAGAATGAAACAAAACTATGGACTTACCCCTTTCGGCAGTTGCAATTTGCATTTTTTACAGCTGGCCACTCTCTTCGCATAGTCGATGGCAAAACGAGTGGTAGAGGCGGACATCTTTGTCGCAACTAAACTGAAAACCAAGTAGGGCGCTTACAACCGTAAGGGGGCATTCAAAGAAAACTGGGCACGAAACTTAATTACTGTCATCTGAATAGACTGTAGCGAAATTGGTTTAGAGCACTGTTTACTGCGGAAGGTGAGGCGTATCCAGGAGAGGAGGAGAGGGGGCTGGATTTGGCGTTTTTTTCGCCAACTATTGCTTCTTGCCCATTTCAAGAACTGGGCCCCTTACTCCCTCCAAACACAGCCCAGCAACCAAAGAGAGCAGAACTGCACATACACTATTCTCCATTGAAGTTCATGCGAAGACTTTCATCCTCATTTCAGTAACTCATGTTTTACCCGAGGAGTCAAACGCCCCTTCCCACCTTTTTAGTGCCTAATCAGTTCACGTCCGCAACATTCGAAGCTTCCACAAATAATAGCGGAGTGATGTAAGAAGAAACAACCCATCAATGATCGATCGGAACGAAAATTATCGATCAATACCGTTCAAAAGTGGTGTTTTATGAAGAAAAACAAGAGCAAATATTCCGCAGAAAGCAAATATCTCATGATAAAGGTCATACAATGATATTATAATCCACAATATCTATGGGCGAACGGTGCAGTTAACATATTGTGCCAGCGCAGTTCGACTTGAAGGGGGGGGGGCAATTTCGCACTCCCGCTATTTTTCCCATCGTGTGTTGAGCCGGCGAGCAGAGATCAGTGACATCTTCTGGAGCCATGAGGTGGTACCAGTCAGAGTTCGAACAGACTACTGGTCAACTCTCGCAAAGGATACCTGTCAGCACTAGGGAAGCAATGAACACGACAATGAGTGCAAATGCCCCCCCCCCCCTCCAAGCACAACTGCATCACAATTATGCCTTCCAAAAGTGATGCGAAAATGTTTGCACATTCGCGTCACTTTGCAGAGCTGCACGTGCAGAGCGAACATCTGTTGAACCGCGGGCGGAGAAAAGCTATGCAAGGGAGAGTTTTAGGCACAGCACTATGAGGCCGAAAGTCTTTCCAGGGCTAAGAACACCTTGCGGGGGAAGGGGGAGAGGGAGGAGGCACACCTGTAAGCGCTTGTTAGCATACCAGATCCTGTAAAAGACATGTTAACACCGGATAACCTTTTCAACACAGCCGTGAGACTTGTTATCTTGTGTCAGGCACCCTGTAAATTCTTGCCAAACTTGTGAAAACTTTTTAACTAGGAAGTTAGCTTCAATATATC